GACAAATTATGCTTGAATTAGATCGTTTTGAACGTGTTCATCGTCCATCAGCTACTGTTGTCTTGATTTCTGGTGATATAGATTTTGTGGGCAAACTAAATGATCTTCGTCATCAAGCTGGATTTCAAGTCATTGTTATACATAATAAACTGGCTAAGGATGAATTAAAGGAAACAGCAAATGTTTCTTATTCATGGAACGAATTTACTGAATCAGTACAACAACAAGAACTAAATCTAGAAAATAGATCAGCAAGGTTGAAAGTAGTTTCAAATTATCGAAAAGCGACTTCAAAATTAAGGAAATTAAGTTTAATGACAAAATCTGATTTATATGACAAAAATAATCCTCATCAGAATGATATTTTATATTCAAAACCTCCAGTTATGTATCGATATGTTCGAAGTGCAAGCCGAAATCATCATCGAAACAATCGTAATCAATCACGACAACGACAAACCATTGAACCTGTTAAGCCAATGTTGATTTATTGTGGTGGTATTAATACTCCTTCAACTGCTTCAAACTCAATAGTTGCACCACAAGCTCAAATGCATCAAGGAAATAGTATTAGTCGATTGAACCAAAGAAATAATTCTGTGTTTCGTTCGTGTGAGCGCATAGCATCAGCTGTCGATGATGATACATCAAAAAAAGAGTACAATTCAATGTCATGTTCTCATTGTACTAATGAATTTAGTACAATCCAAGCACTTCGTGAGCATCAAAAGGATAAAAAACACTTATTCTATTGTTCGAAATGCATGAATGACGTCTCTACATCAGATGGTTTAAAGTACCATCAAATTGCAAAAGCATGTGACACTTCAACGAATATACCTGATCAAGACAAATTGCAATCTGACCCAAATGAAAATCTGAATATGCCTGAACATATTGCTTTATTTGAGGAAAAAACCACTACTTCTGACGACAACAAACGTACTTCTGAACATCAAAATTCTGCGAACAATAACTTAACTATCGACAGAAACATGAAT